TTCGTCCGATCCCGCCGCAGTCCCGGGCATGAGGCGATAGCAGAGGCGGCGGGGAGCGGGGGAGGCGAGGCCGAGGCGAGCCAAGCCCGGCTAGCCATGCTGTCCAGGAAGGGCATCATCCCGGAGGAATACGTGCTGACCCGCCTGGCCGAGGATGTCCCCGATCACGCCCGCTACCGGGCTCGTCAGCGGCGGGCTCGTTTCGTGGGCAAGAACGGCACGTGCAACGTGGCCCACAAGAACATCCGGGAGCAGGGGCGCTTCCTGCAGGACGTCTTCACCACCCTGGTGGACCTCAAGTGGCCTCACACGCTGCTCATCTTCACCATGTCCTTCCTCTGCAGCTGGCTGCTCTTCGCCATGATCTGGTGGCTCATCGCCTTCGCGCACGGCGACCTGGACCAGAACACGCAGCAGCTGCACCTCCAGGAGGGCGGCGGCGGCGGCGGCGGCGGAAACCTGGCGGGCTTCGTGCCCTGCGTGACCGAAATCCACTCGTTCACCTCGGCTTTCCTTTTCTCCATCGAGGTGCAGGTGACCATCGGCTTCGGGGGCCGCATGATGACCGAGGAGTGCCCGGCCGCCATCCTCATCCTGATCGTCCAGAACATCGTGGGCCTGGTGATCAACGCCATCATGCTGGGCTGCATCTTCATGAAGACGGCCCAGGCGCACCGGCGGGCCGAGACGCTCATCTTCAGCAAGCACGCCGTGGTCGCCCTCCGCGAGGGCAAGCTGTGCTTCATGCTGCGCGTGGGCGACCTGCGCAAGAGCATGATCATCAGCGCCAGCATCCGCATGCAGGTGGTCAAGAAGACCACCAGCCCGGAAGGCGAGGTGGTGCCCCTCAACCAGATCGAGATCCAGATGGAGAACCCCGTCGGGGGCAACAGCATCTTCCTGGTCTCCCCGCTCATCATCTACCACGTGATCGACAAGAATAGCCCCCTCTACGACGTGGCCCCCGCCAACCTCCACCACCACGAGGACCTGGAGGTCATCGTCATCCTCGAAGGGGTGGTGGAGACCACGGGCATCACCACTCAAGCCAGGACCTCCTACCTGGCTGACGAAATCCTCTGGGGCCAGAGGTTTGTGCCCATCGTGACGGAAGAGGACGGGCAATACTCCGTGGACTACTCCAAGTTTGGCAACACTGTCAAGGTGCCCACGCCTCACTGCACGGCCAGGCAACTAGAGGAAGACCGGAGCATCATGGACTCCATCTCCTTGTCGCCCAAGGGCACGGCCAGGAAAAGATCGGTTAGACTGAAGCCTAAATTTAGCATAGCCGAGGAGGAGCCATCCTGACGCCCCGCGTAGGTCAGGCTCTCCGATGGGACACTCGATATATAAAAAAAAACGCACTGCAATTCCCCGTTTCTATTAACTAAAATTGGTTCCAGAAGGTATGTAAAACACCGTGCGAGTGCAAGAGAAACGCGTGATCCAGGAAGTTCAAGGCCGACTGCATCCTCTCTGTCTGACTTCCTTGCTTGTTCGCACAATCTCTTGGGGTGGATAAAACAATCCAAACTGGAAGATGCCTTTTGGGTGTGGGGAGGGACTCCTTTTTTATGTGTTGGTTGGTTTATATTATTTGTGCCCTGGCATTGCCTGGAAATGATATGATGTTTTTAACTGTTATATACAAACAGCTTGGTTATAATAAAGAAGTTCGTTGGGCTTAATAAGAAAACCAGTGCCTGTTTACACTGCAGTGCATTATATGTTAAATAAATATATGTACAGATTTAATTTATTTCATAAATAATATTGCATGGTTTCATTGCTTTCGTTGCAAATGAATTTGGAGATACATAGCCCTTTGGCAGCCACTAACTACCTTGCAATTAAGTTCAGTTGTGGCTCCAATTGTAATGTGTTAAGGAAGATGAGGGGAAGGTACAGAAAAAAACTAGACACTTATAAAAGACAGCAAAGACAAACAGGTAAAATGGCATTTTGTAAATGGGTTTATACTGTGCCTCCCCTACTATCTTGTCATAGCACACAGCTTTACAGTGCTTTATTGGTACCACTTTCTGCTATATTTGTCAGTATAGTGCTTCTTGAGTTGTGAAAGGCAGAACCAGAGGCATCATCTTAATTCAAAGCCAAGAGCTAACATCTATGTTTTTGTATTATTTATTTATTTACAATTATTTCCACACTTCTGAAATTATTTTCACTAGAAAATAATTGAGATTTTGCACAAACAGACTTTTAAAATAGTTGGTTAATGTAACAGAAGCATAAATAATGCTTTGTTACCAGCACATTTACAGTTATCACAGCCTGTTACTGAAATCATATGTACTGATGAGTAGCAGCAGCAGCCAAACCAGCCTGTGTGTTGATCACATGATATCATTAAATAATGTCATAATCATTTTCATTTGGCAGACAATACAAAAGAGAGATGACATTGTGTGTAATGGTCAGAGTGTTGGACTCATGCCAGGGAGACACAGGTATAACGATGAAGCTTCCTTAGTGACTTTGGGCCAGTCATATCCTCTCTCAAGCTAATCTACCTCACAGAGTTGTTTCCTGGATAAAAGTGAGGGAAGAACTTCCTAGAAAAAATGGACAGTATAAATAAACTCATATTGCAGTTTGCTTGGTATAACCAAATAGCATGGGATGAGGTTCAATGATGGTTGATAACAGAGATCCCTTGAATTTGGCTGGTAGTGAAGACCAGACTTACATTAAGAAGTCCTTTAATCCGATAGATGTAATGAAATTAATCAATTTAAATCCATGATTTATAACCACTATAGAACTTTGGGTCAAAGCATGCAGTAATGCAAAAGGGCTTTTAACCTATCTACCAAATAAAATAATATTAGAATATGAATTGTCATTCTGAAAATAAAAGTCTTAATGCATGTTAAATAAGCATGTCTATGATTTAGTATCTTTGCATGCTTTTAAAAATATGTGTTACGTGAATAAGAATGGTGTATCTACACTAATAAGGCAATATATTCTGCACACTTTGCACAATATTATAAACTGGACATAGTCTGCAGCATGGTATAAAGTAGCAAATTAAACATTAATTTTATACACTGATAATGCAAAAGAAAAATACTGTATTTGTTAAAGATTAGTGATGCTAAAATGCTTGCTATGAAGATAATAAATAATACAGTGTAACCAGGCCATTTCCATTATTTAGTACAATGAAAAACTATTATTAATATCTTATACATACAATTTCCCATGCAGTTTTTTTCTGAGATGCAAGTGCTCTTAATTTCTCATATGATCCTGTCAATCTTTACAGTCTGGCTCTTCTTATCTCTGTTTTATTGTAAAAATGCTATATGAATTTGTTAATTTCAAATGAAAGTGGACTTGTTTTCACTCTTGAAGGTGCTTTTATTGTGTGTCAAAGTGGTGTTTGAATGATAAACTGAAAGGGGACTTTAATTTCTAGCCAGCAGCAATAAATGATACAAGCCAGAGCACTTGGGTTCACATGGAATTTTTAAACTGTTGGTTGGGATCCAAACAGAGTCAAATCATAGTCCACCAGCAAAATTACTACTCACAGGATACCTACAGGTGGGATAAGGTGGGCACACAATAGAAAATGTGCCCTTGGTGATTCTCGGTAAATTTTAGTTTGCGGCGTAAAAAGCAGTCAAGTAAACATGTGACATATTTTACCTGGCCCTGAGTGAGGCGGTGGATTCAGAAGCCTTCTATGTATGGGGAAAGTTATGCCAGAGCCCATGTAACCTTTAAATCTTTATCCACTACCCAGGAAGTGGGCCCCATGAAACCCAGCTGGGCTTCCTTCTGCGTAGTCTAGTTAGGCTTCTAACACCAGACTTATATTTATACTTCCAGCTGAGTGAGGGAATCCATATAATCTTAAGAATCTCTGTTCCTCATTAGGGAGAATGGAACGAGATGCTCATGATAAATGGTGAATCTCATGGCCCAGTGTTAGCAGTAGTAAAAAAACACCCCACAAATTTTGTTTATCTCCAAATTAATAGCAGCCAAAGAAAAGGAGAGCCAAACATTTCCATTTTTAAAAAGAAACTGAAACACATAACCTGGACTCACCCCATATTTTAATAGGCATCTTACTTCCATTTAATTAAGTAGCACTTGATTTATTTATGTTCTCTTATGAATTTTAGTCTACAGGAGAGATCATGTTCCTTATGCTTTGGGGTTAGAGTCTTACTGCTAGTATACTAAGCCTGCTGCTCTATAATGCACAGTTATTCCAGGTCTCCACCACAATCAAATTAGGAAATGCCACTGAATAGTTGTATCCTCCCTTCCTACACAATGTACATTTTCTGCCTCGGCAGTTCCCTGACTTTACAATGCATGCTGCTGGGAAGCTGGTCTTACAAACAATTGAGACAGTTCATGTAGTAAATATGTAGGGCTCATTTAATTTTAAAATGGTGCATCTGTGTTCTTGTGACTGCATGCAAAGCAATGTCTTTTGGAAAGCAGAAAAGGCTGCTCTGCCAATAGTAACTTTGAAAAGAGAGCAGATATTTTAGTAGCAGTAAGATGGGTGAGAGCATCAGTTTTGGAATGTTAAATGCTTTTGGAGAGCAAGCATTAGCACTATGTTTATCTCAAAGAGCCTGGGTGGGAAACCTTTAACCATCCAGATGTGTGGCAGTTGTCCCATTGTCTCTCTCCATTGACAGGAAAGGCTAAGGCTGATGTGAATAGAAAGATATAAGTTCCCCAGACCTGCTGTAGAAAGTTCAAATGACCAGACTGGAGATGAAAAGAGAGTACTGTAAATGGAATCACAAACAGTCCTTCTGCAGGGATTTGTTATCCAGGGATAGGAAAGATGGTACATCAGGACTAGATCAGTGGTTCTTAACCTTTGTTACTCGGATGCTTTTGAACTGCAACTCCCAGAAACCCCAGTCAGGACAGCTGGTGGTGAAGGCTTCTGGGAGTTGCAGTCCAAAACTCCTGAGTAACCCAAGGTTAAGAACCAATGGACTAGATAATGGAGCAGCATTTTCAGAAGTTAACTGTAAAGCCTCTCCCTCATTAAAATCAATGAAAAGTATGGGCACAGTCCCAAGGGGTGGGGAATTTTGGCCTTTGGGTCCATTGAAAATTACTCAGGTGTTTGGTCACTCAAAGCTAATGAGGGGTTGAGGATGGCCAATCAAATACATTAAAATAGAGAGATCATAGAAAGCCTTTCCTATTACTACTGCTGGAAAGGTCAAGAACAGCAGGAGACTTTCTTTTGCTCACCCCTCAGCTCATAAATTGTACCAGTCCAGGTTTTATGGCCTGCCCTTTCCCTTGATGTCTGTACAGAATTCTTTCACATAGCAAGTTTATTACAAACAGGAAAGAAATCCTATTGTGACATTGGCCACATGGAACCATGGTTACACTCAAGAAAGTTTGTGATCTTTCTCTTTTCCCCTCCCCCCCCCCATTTTCCCTCATTCACAGCTTTCAAGTGTTTGTTCCCTTTAATACTAATAACTCACAGGTCAACTCAGTTGAACAACCAATTTAAGCACCTACACAATTTCCGTTCCAGCTAAGTCTGTCACCCCTTAGAGACATGGCTCAGGGCTTTTAACCAGTGGTGTTACCCATACTGAACAGAGCTGTCATCTTCTGAGAACAAAAATGTAAGGCTATTAACTACATTGGCATGAAATCATTCATAATTAAGAATGGAACTGTAGAATCCTAGAGGTTGACGGGGACTTCGAGGGCAATCTAATGGATTTACTTATCCTTGCTTGATGGAGGAAATCTCAAAGTAGACTTTCCAAATAGATGGCTGTCTTCTTGAAGACCTCTAGTGAGGAAAAGGTCACCACATCTACAGATGATTGATTGTTTCCATCAGCAAACTATTCTTTTCATCAAAAGAGTTGTCTTAAATTTCAGGAAAGTAGCTTTCTGAAGAACATTAAGTCTAATATATCTATTCTTGCCCTCTAGATCAGCAAAGGACTGATCTATGTTCCAGATCTTAGCAGTGCAGTCCTTTGCATGGTTACTCTAAAGTGAGTTTCAACTCAAAAGGGCTTATTGAAAGGTAAGTATGCATAAGATGGCAGTCAAAGTAGGTGGTTGGCCAGCTTGATTTATTCCTGTAGGCCACGATCCTATTGGTGTTTGCAAAAGATCTGCATTACTTGTTGTCACTAATTGCAGCTAATATCAGGGAATGTCTCAGTCATGTTATCTGGTCATGTGTCTAAATGTGCAACCAAGATGCATCCGCTCATCAGATAGCTGTGGCAAGTTACATATTCCTTATGCAAACACTAATACTGTAGTATTATGGCCACTATAGTATAATTAGCTTAAGAACATACACATATTTTGTAATTTTAAACATATGGAAACAAATGTTAGTATATGCATTTACATACTAGCAAATTTTGATTAAGATAAACTGTAGGCACCTCTTCAGATGCATCTGAAGAAGCAGGTTGCAGTCCAGAAAAGCTTATGACAATTAAAATATTTTAGTTTTTAAGGTTCCAGAAAACACCTTGTTGTCCTCATTTTAACAGACTTTTTTTTAAAAAAAAATATTAATGCAAAATAAACCTACTACTACACAAAAATCCTATATACAATACAATACAATACAATTACCCATGTGCTCCCATCACCTTCAGGACTAGCAATACATTTCGTTCCATCCATTTTCACTACAAAATTTCATTGTTTCTTCCCTCAGTGTATACCCCCCCTCCCTCTCCGAAATGCATGTTCCAAAAATACATTCCATATTTTCTTAAAGTCATTACAGTATTTTTCATTTGGCCTCTACTTATTTTCATATCACATGTCAGTTTATCGTTAATTGCCATGTCCCATAATTCTCTATACCATTCCTCCAAGTTAAATTGATTATCATTTCTCCAGTTTCTTGCAAAAATTATCCTTGCTGCCGTAATCATTATTACTATTAAATCCTTATTTTCTTTCACCAATTGATCTTCCTTAATCAGATTCAATAAGGCTATTAACGGAGACATTTGAATATTCAATCCAGTTATTTCAGATATTTCTTTAAATATTAAATTCCATTCTTTCTTTCTTTTTTCGCATAACCACCACATATGTAAATACGTCCCCTTCTCTTTTTTACAGCTCCAACATAATGTTGACACACTTTTATCCATTATATTCATTTTGACCGGCGTTAAATACCACCTCCATATTACTTTATAGCAATTTTCTTTTATCCTTACTGGTATGTTCTTCATAATTCTCTGATCCCATATTTTATCCCATTCTTCCCCTCTTGCTTCTTTATCCAAATCAATTTTAACAGACTTAATATATCCCTTCCCATAATAATACATGAAAACAATAAATAGGTTTGATTGACGCAAAGAGCTATGAACATTGTATCCATATACAAGTGTATGAGGAAATTGATTTGAGTAAGATTGGTTTGAACTTTAGAGTTCAGCATTTCTCTAATGAATGGCATGTAGTTTTTGTAGGAGTGATAGTTTGGACTGTGCAATTAATACAACAGGAGTTGTATTACATAAGTCTTCTGCAGACTGCAGTCCACTTCACAGAGGCATGGAATAGATTTGCCACTTTCCCCCCCTGGAAACTGTGTTTCAAGCTGAAATTCAGCAGATGAAACGTTTTTGGGTCCATGCAATGTACCTGAGTTTCTGGACGTGTCAGGTTTCTGCTTAGGATGTATTAAATGTAAAAGAAAGGAGAGGGGCCAGGAAAGAAGCAAATTTACACCAAAGAAGTGTTTGGAAACAGTAAAACGAGAGATTGAAAAGAATGCCAAAGAGAAGGAAAAAGAAACTAAAGATAGGAAAATAGTATCTTTTTAAAGGTATATATTTTTAAAAATTGTTTCAAGTTAGCATATTTAATATGTGAGCTTCTGGAATCCAGCAGAATTAAAGGATACTTGCTTCAAGGTTTGTCACACTTGTTTGCACACATTCAGAACAAGTGAAAAATAAACCAGCTTTCACATAGCAAATTATTTCTAGATTATTCATTACAGTCCAAATGGTTAAAACAACAACAGGACCCACTTGCAACGCTTAAAGGCTGTTGACATAGATGGGAATAAGGAGAAGATCAGCAGTGTCAGTTTTGGCAATCCTAATCTGTTTAGGGTGTGAGAAACTGAATCCAGATCTAGTCTTCCTTCTTGACGACAGGAGCAACTGCCTCTTCAGTTCTGTTTGTGCAACAATCCTCATTTACAGTAGGATTATATATTTTACCCTAAAAGATACAGCTTTACTGAATCCTTCTGATCAACAGTAGAGAAAACAATGCACTGCTGAAGTTAAGAGCTTTTTCCCATGCTTGGTAAAACTAGCTTTAAAAAAATAACTCAAGCAAATGCATTCTGTGGGATGCACTGCAGAGAGCATTGCAACCAGCATGGTTCACCTTGCATAACCTGTGGGCCACAAATGCTTGCTTTTGT